CCCCAAAACCCCAAAACCCCAAAACCCCAAAACCCCACTATGCCAAAACCTGGTTGAAGAAGTTTGGATGGATTCTAGCTGATTAATTAAATTTTCAGAGGTTTTGGGTATTTGAACTTCGAGCTCAGTAGGGAGAGATTTCTATGGCTTCCAAGGTAGGTATGGAGGATAGCTCAGAGACTAGATAAATCAGCCTACCCTGAAGTAGGCTAGTCAGTGATATGTTTGTTGCTATCCTTATGACAAGCTCTAGCTCCAGAGGAGACTCGAGTTCAAATTTAGAGACAAGTTAGTTTATATCTTCTTGGATGCACCTTTGATGCTATATTTTCTCCTTGTTAGCTTTATCTGTTTTGAGCCTATTTTATCACTAGCGACATGCATGCCTATAAAGTTGTTAGGTACTATGCCAAGGAAGGTTGCCAAATTGGTAACAAGGGTGGTCTGAAATTTCCGTATTGATTTAAACACGAGATCTTTTAAAATGTATGGGATTGTAGCACTAGACTTACTGAGATCGGCTTTGGTTAATTTCCTCTTGGATTTAACAGGATTTATATGTGATTTATGAATAGAGCCTTTATCCTTGGACTTTGGCAACTCAGAAGCTGCCTTCAGTCACTTGGACTGGTAAGTGCAAGAGGTAGTCCTTGTCCTATCAGTTGATTTATTCTTCTTATATGACTCATTATGTTTGATGTAACTAGGTGCTTCATTTGTATTGAAGACTGCTCGCTGATCATTCCGAGTCCTGTTCTTAATAAGGCTATCTTTCTTGATGAGCTTCTTGCTGGCGATTACTCTCTTTTTCTCTTTGTATTGGTTATTGTAGAAGCTCAGATTTCGGTACTTGTACGGGTTCTTTGGCTTAGTCTTTTCGAGTTTCAAGTTCCCAGAGATGGTGCTTTTCTTGCGGGAAGAATTCCCAATCTTGATAGCTGAAATTCAGCGTTTGGTTTTAGAAGACTTTTTGATGCTCTTGTTAATTCCTGAAGTCCTGGAAGCGACCTTGTGAGTCACTTCTGAACTAATGTAGTTCGAATATTCCTTGGATTTATTCTTGCTGATTTTCTTTTTGTCTAAATTGATTAGGCAGGGTCAAACCTTTCATGTCATAGGTGTGCTGGGCAGGGATTTTTCAGCGAGATCCTGAACTCTTTTGGTGACTCATAGAGTAATTGCAACTCACATTAGAACTATCAATATTCTTATACTTTATTTTTGATTGTGTCTCTAGTGTTTTGAAGGGCCCTATTTTACTCAACACATTGCCATTGTCTTTTGAGAAGGAGCTTTCCCTGTCATTACCTTTCTCTTTGGAGTACGATCTCTTGAAACTCTTCATCGCCATCATCGAACTATGAGGGAATTAGTCAACCTCCTTACTGTAGATTTATAGGGTTATTCTTGGATTTTAGCTTGCTTGGCTTCGGCTTCTTGCTGATGCTTTTAACATAGCGGGAGATATTGTCCCCATGGACCTTCTTTGGTCTTTTACCATAGTTTGCTCCATTCTGTGAGATTTTAGCTAAAATTTACCTTTGAATTGAGAGCTTCAGCAAGATTTATTTTATCCTCATTGAAATTTCACATGTTGTTTAGCTCAAAATCGTTGTCCATAAGTTGGATGTTGCCTTCGTCTTCTTCAGTCTGGTGAATTTTATGCAAGAAGAGGGGATTTGGCACCTCATTATCATAATTTCTCCTGTGATAATTTATCTCAGGTGGGTAAATCTCCTCGTCCTTTAGGTTTTCATCGAGGAAGTTGGAATCAAAGTTGCTTTCATCGACATTCTCCTTCCCGTCAGAGTCTTCTTGTGAGTCGCTAGCCCCATCATCGTAGATCTCGGTCTCAACTCGAGCATTTTGAGGCTTCATGGTCTTCCGTTGACCGGAATACTTATTAGTCTTCCCTTGGCAATCTATATTGAGTGATCAGAGAGATGGGAGAGGGTAAGACACTTACTCTTGGAAAAGAGGAGGCTCATTTTCTCTTTGGCGGTCAATTTACTATTGATTTCGCTATTTTTCTCTGCAGACTCTCTGCTTCGCTGGATTTTGAAGAGTCTTTTTCAAACATCTGTGTAGTCAAAATGGGCGCCTGTCTCAGGATCTTGGTATTTGGAGGTCGGGTCGTCCTCGTAGAAGATGCCTTTGTAATTTTGGAAATCGATGTCGTCTAAGTCTTCTTCGTACTCGTTCATATTTTATGCAATTATTTTTGAAAAATTATTTAGTTCAACTCTACCGGTTCTTCCTGGGGTTTTGGGGTTTTGGGGTTTTGGGGCTTTTGGGG